AAAAAAAATACAGTTATGGCAGTGGTTTCAACGGTCTAGAACAATTGTGGATTCTTAAACTGTGTTTCGCTACGGCCCCTAGGTCTTCAGGGACTTTTATAGATCACTGTAGGTGTAAAGAAGCAGCAAGCTGTCTAGGTTCCTCCTGTCGCCGTACAGTCTCGTATTAATCTACTGGGTAAAGGTATCACGAAGCTTGAGAACTCCTGCATTTAATTTACGGTTAGAAACCAGCAGATAGACCGTAACAAATAACAGACGGCAGTGCTGGTGCCAATAAACTCAATTCAGTTACGCACGTTTGTCGGTTAGTCAAATGTACGGCCCGTTATTGTCTTTCTGGCAGTTTCGTGTATGTGCCGAGTCAGTTTCAGTATTTTATTTCACTGAATCTTGTTCTTTAGGATTCCATTGCAGAGCAACGAATGTTAACGCTCGCCGCTACGGGAAATGCTGCCATGCTTGTTATTAATCTAAAGTATTTCCCTGAAATTAACTCCATCGTCTTCACAAGCAGAAATGCAGTTCATTTCAGATTTAATTTAGATAAATGACGTTCAGGATGAAGCATTTATGTCGTGAATCGAAGTTACCCAGCCAAGCTACCAGATAGCGCGCGCGTCTCTTTCTTGTGGGTTACGGAGTGGAACTCGCAGTCTGTTGCATGAGAGAGAAGCTTTGGGGGAATAACTCGACAGTTATAAAGTCCTTTAAGATAATAATCCGTACAATCGAAGCAGAAGAATCCAGCCTGCAGTGCGTGCACCAGACGGAGGCAACAGCGCCGTGAAGCGTCGCGGATTTGTGACGTAGGGACTCTGGAATCGCTTAAATTAATTTTACGAACGAATTAACAGAAGCTGGCATTTAACCATTTGAAGCATGTAATTCCTTTAAATAATATTTAGAAATTAAATTCATGACTGAAAATCCATCCACTTCTAAATTAGTAAGAAGGTCTATCAAGAACGAGCAGGCCACAATGACGTGGGCTGGTAAGATTCCTTCCAAGGCGTGCAGTCAGTTTTCCAACAGGGACAACTATAGAATTGTCTTATGAACTTAAGTTTAAGGCATTTAGGAATATTTTTACTGATTACTACAGCGCACTCCGGTCAGAAGCATAATTTTTACCTAACCAATATGGCCGTCCAAGGGCTTCCAACCCTAGGATCGAGTCCCGGCCAACACACTATTGACATGCATCGTTAGTATTAATATTATTCATAGAAGGTAAAGGTTCAGTAAGAAAGAGGACATCCTGCCTCCAGAAAAAAAAAAGGGTTTAGCCTACCTACAGAATACAAAGAAAAATCATAGAAAGGTTTAAGCTCGCTAAGAGTTTGACAAGAGGTACTTTCTTTTCAAAGGGGTTAGCTCGCGAGAAATACAAGGGAGAAAGGTACTGAGTTCGTGGCAGTGCATAAGACAGGCCAGAACTACCCTTCCTGCAACAACAAATAATAATAAACTTAGTCTTAACATTTCACAACGACATGAAAGGTTGTGCACTGCCAAATTGTACGAAGTAATAAGATAATCCCTTTAAGAAATTGAGGAAAAGAGGGAACTCTCCTTGAATACGGATGAGTGGATTAAGCTTGTACTTAGTAGCCATAAAATGTGTACCCTTTCGCTAATAATACTAATTCACCAAGTACAATTTAGAATAGAACATCGGTAAGTTCTCACAAGGAAAACCNCGATCAACACGATGCCAGTGTCAGTGTCGTAAACATCTTAACCAGTGCGATTGCATTTTTTAAGTGTAATAAATTAAGTTGTGCAAAACTTAAACCCAGTAAACAGTGCGTTACTGTACCTGACTCCGCTAACACGGAGAGTCGAATCCAGGACATCTCCTTCCAACCCCTTTGAAGCGAGGCCCTAAACGTCCCTGAGGAAAGAATCCATGACTCTACCCGAAAGCTTTAAAACATTCAATGATAACACCTCTTATCAACTAGCCCAATAAACCCTGAGATATTCCATTCGCGGAGGCGTTATCAAGAAGGACGTAGCCGCCAACTAGACTACCAGATCTACAGCGCACTTCTAGATAGTCTCCGATCCAGGTCAGTGTACTCCATCTAGATACGCGTGTGCGGTTAAACCAACTAACGCCATGGAGATTACATCTTCTTGAGAAGCCACTAGTTGCGCAGATACTCAAGAACTTTCCAGCATTTTATGGAACCCGAAGGTTCATTACCGTGTTCACAAGAGCCCTCCTGAGACACATCAATCCTGTCCACACCACTACACCTATCTCTCTGAGATCCATTTTCAATCATTTTTAAAATACTTTAAATTATTGGTACTAATACGTATTCGAGATATTTCCATCTTTTTCTATTCCCCCCCCCCAGACGCAAGGGGAGCCAGATACCTCGTTTGCCCCTCACACCTGACGACATCCATAACTCTAAAATCATCCTCAACATGTGACGACAATCTCAGCTGCTAGGGCGAAATCTCTGGCGATGAGAGGGGAGAGTAATCACGAGCAAAGACCGCAATAGATAGTCAAATTATCGAACACATAACAAACAAACTCTGTGGCTTTAGTCCGCAAGCGAACTATACCGACCGAGCGACCGCCGCTTGTCGGGAAAGTTAGTGCCCACTTTAGCGGATAGAGGGTGTCACGTGGTCAACGCAATGAATCCCCACGGCCGTTAATCTCGGTTTTCTAGACCGGAGCCGCTGTTTCCTTAAAATAGCTCCTCAATTATCCTCACGAGGCTGAGTGGACCCCGTTCCAGGCCCACTACTTCTCAGAAAATCTGGTAGCGTCGGGAATCGAACCCGGGACGTCAAGGTCTGTAGCCAGAAACTCCGACCACTAGACCACAGAGGCGGTCATTATCGAATACATAAAAACATTAAAATATCTTGGCCACACAGTGCGTAGCATGAGCGAAGTGAAGGTTGCCTAAATGTAATAAGATGAATGAAATTATAGGAATGCAAGTCTGCAAGTATACAGCTTAGGCTTGATGCAGTAAGAGCAGCAAAACGCGTAAGAAAATGTCGGAGGTCGGACAAATGAAATGCCCTGGACCACTCATAGGCATTTCAAGAAGGGACCACGTTAGGAACGAGATTATAAGGAGTCAACTTGGGCCAGTCAGCATCACGGAAGATATCTAAACATACAGACAACAGAGGGGTTAACATCTGACTCGTACTCGGGAGGTGCTCGTTTCGAATTTAGACTAGGGCATTGACTATTCTGACTAAGATTTCTTGTGATATTCCTCAGTCCTTCCAGGCAAATTCTGAGACACTGCCTGGTTCTGGGCACGGCAGCTTCCTCAGATTTTTTTATTGCTAGTGGGGTGGGACTAAGTCCCTTGTACTGCGGCCACTTCTGGCCTATTGTACCAGCCCCAGATGATAGGTGAGGGTGATTGTGGAGCAATTGGTGGAATGCAGATTGGCAGGGGAAACCGAAGTACCCGCAGAAAACCTGCCACTTTGGCCACCACAAATCCCACTTGACCAGACCCGCGATCGAACCCGGGCCGCCGCGGTGGGAAGCCAGCGACTAACCGCTTGAGCTATGGCGCGGCCCTTAGCCTTAGATACTGACATCGCCGTAGAATGAACACAAAAATGGAAGAGAGACCAACATAAGACTTCCACAGGTTGCAAACTATTATGAACGGAAAGGGGAGACGGGTGGTCAGACCGCCTCTGTGTCTCGGGACGGGCTCCTTCTTTGCACAGAAGAATAAGAAAAAAATGCAGAAGTTCCTACATCGCTTGAAGTTCCTTCGAGCTAACAATGCACCTCAGTACGCTGCAAGGCCTGAACCTAAATACCTGCGCCACGTACCCAATCCACGTCGCTTGGCGTTTCCCGGACTTCTTACGATTGTCATGTGCGGCCCTCATATTCACGTAAGTTTGGCCAGCCCTGCTGTATGCGTACATAATATCTGTTTATTGCTAGTTATCTTGAAAATGGATCTGGAAGTTCCCCCGAAACGTTGCACCTATCTACCAAGCCACACGGTGTCACGCGTCTGTTGCAGCAGTGGAATGTCCATACCGTAGCGTACCTTTGGCGACCGGTGACACGGCAATGATGTTGCTCAGTGCTGCTCCTGTCCCGTGGCCCAGAAGTGTGATCCTCTCAGGGTCGCCGCCGAAGGCAGGGATGTTCTCCCTGAGCCAGTGAAGCCCTGCTACCAGGTCCATGAGCCCGAAGTTGCCCTGCGCACTGCCTCTCGCTCCCGTCTTGAGAAACCCTGCGGCAAAGAAGCAACACTCGTGAGGATCCCGCTCAGCGCTCCAGGCCTGCTTCGAGTCTCTGCCGGGATACAGCCTGTCGTAACTGACATCTTCTGTGAGTCCCTCCAGTTCCCCCAAGCCACGGCGCTACACAGAGTGAGATAAGTGAATGTCTGCACCCACATCCTGCAGCCTGAGGACCGGGTGGGAGGGCAGGGGAAACAGGCACCTGCTCTCCGACCCTGGAATTTAGAAGAAATAAGCATCAAATTTGAAGAAATGAAGGAAAAATAGCAAGTAGTAAAAAACAAAAATATTTTCCGGAAGTACAAACGGTCGGATCTGTAAGCAAGTCTCTTCTCTAACGCCCTTTACCTAATCCTGTCGGCGCTCAGGCCAAAAGAGGTACGATTTATTGCAGAAGGTCTCGGGTTCGAGAGTTCATCGAGAGCCTTGCCATCCCCAGACCTTCGACAGGTACGAAAACGAGAAGTAGTTCACTTCAAGCCTATGTGTACATGGCCCCACCATTGTTCTGGTACCATTTTAAACTTTAAACCCCCTTTTCGGCCATCACTTTCTTACCATAGGTTGCAAGCAGTTCATCCCACCCAGTCTTAGCCGGACGGGCAAACACCAAAACTCGAGGCCTAAACTGACGAGGAGCACGCGTGGGACCAACTCCTGATACGTAGCTTCTGAAGGGTTCTGACGATGGTGGATGACACACAGAATTGCTGGGTTTTTGGACTTTTCCATCGTCCGGAATTTTAGGTAACAGAGAACACGACGTTTCGGAAACTGGATCTGTTTCCGAAACATCGTGTCCTGTATTACCTAGAATTCCTGATGATGGGTAGTGTTCAAAAACCCAGTAATTCTGTAAGTCCTGATATGTAAACCTGAACGGAAGAGGTTACTCTGAAGAGGAAGACTCAGATGGCAGGATGCTATTAAAATGTATCTTAAAAGAAATAGAGGAGAAATTTCGGACTGGATTCATTTCTCTCACAATAGGGACCATTAGGCTTCATAACTTGTACTCCTCTCCAAGTATAATTAGAATGATCAAGTCAATGAGGATGGGGTGGGCAGGGCATGTAGCACGAATGGGGGAGAAGAGGAATGCATACAGGATATTGGTGGAAAAGCCAGGAGGAAAGAGACCACTGGGAAAACCAAGGCGTAGGTGGGTGGACAATATTAAAATGGATCTTAGAGAGATAGGATAGGATGGTATGGATTGGATTGAACTGCTCAGGATAGGGACCAGTGGAGGGCTCTTGTGAACACGGTAATGAACCTTCGGGTCCCGTAGAATGATGGGAAGTTCTTGGGTAGCTGCACAACTGGCGATTTTTCAAGAAGGGCTCAGCTCCATAAGTAAGTAAGTGAGTAAATAGGGACAATTTGACTCTTGTGAACACGGTAATGAACCTTCGGCTTCCATAAACCGTATTTTTTTTTTACTAGATAGCTGACTACTAGCTTCTCGTGAAGACTCAGCTCATGTTATGAAGGGGGGCTACTTGAACGGAGTAATACATTTTCGAGTTCCATAAACGTCGGAGAATTGGCCGACTAGTTGATCGACTGTTAGCTTCTAAGGAAGGACTCTCTTCCATGAATTAGGTTACGCAATAGAGAGACTTGTGGATAAGCTGTGTTGTTACGTAGCCTCACAGTAATGATTAAAGCCTGGGGTTCAGGTTTCCACTCTTGCTTTACTGCCTGCAGTCCCGTCATGGGGGAATGAGGGCGCCCAGCCAGTGGGTCAAGGAACAGCCGCTGGGGCGAAACGTAAAGAGCTCGTGGGTTCTTAATATTCCATTTACAAGGGATGAAATATAAGCCAGAAAGACTGCACAGGGTGTATACCGAGAGGTACCCCCGTATACAGAACGCCTTATTAACGTTACTGGGCTTCGGGTTATGACGGAGGTCACTCACGGAGCTGAGCCGTTCTTGAGAAGCCGCCAATTGTGTAACTACTCAGGAACCTCCCAGCATTTTATGGAACCTGAAGGCTCATTACCGTGTTCAGTATCACAATCTGCTGCCCAGAATGATCGGACATCAAGTATACTTGAGTGCCGTCTCCTGTCTATCAAAATTTGGTCTGTTTGATTGTGTATCTTCCCATCAGGAGATGTCCAAGTGCATTTATGAATGTTACGATGTGGGAACATTGCATTTTTGATGTGGAAAAGTTTACTACTCTGACTGCTTTATCATTACTAATTTTATGCAAACTCTCGTTCCCGATCGTTCGTTTGAAAATTTCTTCCCTCCCTACTTTGGCATTGAAATCTTCTAACAAAATTTTCATAGGGCACTTCGGGAATTTATCAAATACATGTTCTAGTTCTTCATAGAATCTGTCCTTTATGTCGTCAATTTTATCTTCTGTTGGGGCGTGAACATTCGTAACGATGATATCACATCAGCGACCTTTTAGTATTATGTATGATATCCTATCACTAACGAACTCTACCCTCTTAACTGCTTATACGATTCTCTTATGTACGAAAAAGCATGCACCTAATTCATGATTTCAATTCCCTTTCCATACAAAAATGTATAGTCTCCTGCTGGTGCGATGCCACCTCCATCCCATCTGACCTCCTGTACTCCCGCTAAATCTAACTTATATTTTAAGATTTCTTCTGCCACTGCCCTGAGCGAACCTGCCCTATACAAACTGCGTACATTCCAAGTGCCAAATCTCATATCCATTTTCTTTAGCTTAGGTCGTTTATCCAAGGAATCCGTCCAGGTCCGAGGCTTTGTGTTCATTTTCGTAACATAATTATTCTTTTCGGCGAGGAGTTGTTAGTCCCACGCTCAACCCCCGAAGCTGGAGGACCACTTCTTATCGGCTGTCCGCAACTGCTTATTCACTATATTCGCAGCTTCCCTCCCCAAACCTGGAGGGCGTCTCCTTCCGCAACCTGAGGACGCGCCATGCCGTGGTGACAGGGACGACGGAGGTGACTATGAAGATAGTCTGGTAGAAGTTCCTAGTCTTTTTCTGCGGAACGTATTGATTCCATTTTAAGTGTCCAAGAGTAAACAATCAACCAGCAAGCAGTGTATTTCCTGCTTTTTGCTTGGTACACTTACTCGTCGACCCTGAAGATGGCGGCAGTATGTTCCCTCGAAATATCGGAAAACCCTACCGGACTAGAGCGTCATGTCCCGTTTACGCCGAGTTGCAGGTCCAATATGGCCTAAAACAACTTTCAGTCAGTTGGACGTAACGGAACTGTAGAAACTGTGGGGAAAGACATGTCTCCAAATTTGACATGAACAGTGCAAAGTCTTTACAAGCAACAAATAAACATCATATTTAACTTACAGAACTAATAATAAATAAAGGCCGCGCCATAGCTCAAGCGGTTAGTAGCTGGTTTCCCACCGCGGCGGCCCGGGTTCGATCCCGGGGTCTGGTCAAGTGGGATTTGTGGTGGACAAAGTGGTGCTTGGGCAGGTTCTCCCCGAGTACTTCGGTTTCCCCTGCCCATCTTCATTCCACTAATTGCTCCACAATCACCCCCACCTATCATCTGGGGCTGATACAATAGGCCAGAAGTGGCCACAGTGCAAGGGACTTAGTCCCACCCCATTAGCAACACAAGGGACTTAGTCCCACCCAACTGAGGAAAATAAATGAAGGCGTAAGACTGTACGCTCGTAATTGGCAGGTGCTCGGTCCGAATTTTGACCGACGCACCTTCTGTTCTGAGGTTTTCCTTGGTTTTCCCCAGTCCCTCCAGATAAGAACCGAGATTCGAACTCGATAAAGCCAAGGTGAAGTCCTTTTAAATCCTTTCCAATTCATCAACGCTCCTTCCGTCCGACTCTGTAGAGCCTTGGTACTGACGGTCCTGTAATCCTCCCGCCAATCTGCTTCACGCTTAACGTGATGGCCTCCCGAGGTAACAAAAAGCAAATGGTCCACGACAGCCGAATCCCATTACAAGACAACGAGGCTACGTTACAGAGTAAAAAGGTAACCAAGGTAAAGCTATTCCTGTAACAGGCCATGAAGGCCCATAGGGTTGTGAGACGTCGAGGCTCCCACATTTTCTAGACAGTCGGCTCACAGATGGCGGTGAGGGGTTGTCAGCCTTACGCTCCGGCTGCCCTTTACCCCCAGGAAGATTCCTGGTACTCATTTCTGAGTCGACCTCAGGGACATAGTGCTGCTGGAAGGATTAGGGCAATTGAAAAATCCAATGATCTCATCAGGAATGGAACCCGCGGCCTTCCGGCTTGTAGCATAGTGCCTCAACCAGCTACGCTACCGCGCGCCCCTACGTTACAGAGTTCAGTTCATAATTGACACAGCGCTGATGTAACGCATTTCACGCAAGAAATCGAGAGGCGTGGCTTTTAAATGAAAATTTCAGGTCTTAACTTAGCGCGGAAATCTCGTTTCAGCTACTTGGAAACTTAAGTAACATTGACAGAAAGTGTTACATAGGCAATGCAGCAAGTAAGACTGAATGAATATGTGGCATCTTACAGAGAAACTTAAAGATCAAAACAAGGAAAGAATGAAAGCGGAAATTTTATATATGTTGGTAGCACTGTCAACTTTACCATATGGAAGTGACTGAGAGATCCGTACCAGTTTCTTTTGTAAACTTCAAGGGGAGATATAACTTAGCAGACAAGTCTCGAAATCAGGATAATATTAAAACGAATCTTAAGAAAATGTGAGAACCGAGGTGGCTTGAATAGCGGTAACGCTCTAGATTTGTGTTCGGTTCGAACCTCGGCAGGAACATTTTAGGAAGAGACTTGTATAGCAAACTCAGTAAGTGTGATATAACACGCAGGGCCTTAAGAGGAACCTCAAGGAACGTATACGAAAAAGAAACAAACAGAGTTCAAGTTTTATAGAGCAGCAGCATTGCCAACTTTGCGATATCGAATTGAGCCATGGACAAATAGTGCAAGAGAGACAAACAGAATACGGTGAAGTAGAGATGACACACTTGAGAACAGTGGA